CTGTTTCTGCAGTAGGTCTGTCTCCTCCTTGTATCTGTCCCCACTGCCCTCTCTTTTTGGGCCTAATTTATGTAAGTATTGAAGCAAAAGTTAGCTTTTGTCACTTGTTCACGTGTTCATGTCGGCAAGGACAGCAAGGAGGAGGAAAAGCAGCAGCAACAGAAGATCCCAGAATTGACCCTTAGCCTTCTTCGGGGTGTATGGCCCTTGGCACATACCAAACCACGCCAGCTCCTGATGCTGGGCTGCATAGATGTGCGATTGATGAAGTTCTTGTCCCTCACAACTTTTTACATTTTTTAAACTTCAGTTGGGGAAAATCATCCTCTCAATTTTTGCATTCAAGACTATCAGTTTTGTGGCAGGACCAGGCCTGATTTTAAAAAACCAAGATGAATGCCTACCTATTATATACTATCTAGCAGGATCTGCCTCGAGAAGTGTAGTTTGGCACATCCATTCAGGAAAGGCAGGTGGTTTGGTGAATGGAAGGATGACTAACCATACTGGGAGCCTGATGTTTCTAGGGAAATTTCCAGCCAGGGAATCCTTCATAATCCATGTTTTCTTTCATAGTGAAGAGTGAAGATGAGGATGGGAGCCACCCACATGGCAAAGGAGGAGAGGAAGGCAAGGATCACAAGCGCTCCAAACGCCCACGCACCATCCTCACCACGCAGCAGCGGCGGGCATTCAAGGCCTCCTTTGAAGTCTCCTCAAAGCCCTGCCGGAAGGTCGAGTATCACTTGATTGCTTCCTTCTTTCTTTAAAGGGACACTGAATGCAGGGATGGGCGACCGGCACCCCTGCAAACGTCAGCACCCTAATTTTGAAGCCACTGTGCAGATCGTCAGTTCCAATCTTTCATAATGACTAGCAGCGCCTTCTCTGTAGTCTGTTGCTTGGGAGGAAGAGAGAACAGGATGTTAGGGAGAGTAGTTCACCTATACTTTAGGCTTTACTCGCAAAGTGCAGATGACCACTAGATGTTAGGAAAGAGATGTAGGAAACATGAATATGTTGTTGCCATCCAGGGGTCTTCTAGCCCAGATCTGGTTGTCCTAGTCTCTGGCCCCACCTACTCTTGCGTCAGCCCCACCCACCCACGCACCCACCATGCAGTCCCAACAGTTACACCAGAGGGAATGTGGTTCTCAAGAGAAAAAAGATTTTCCACCACTACATTAATCACCACCACGTGTTACTTTGCAGACTCAGAGCAGGTCTGTATTGTACCTCTTTTAGCCATTCTTTGGCCTGCAGAGCAATCATTTTTGGAGGTGGTGTGAGTCATGGGAAGTGAGGAGGAGGAAGGAGGAAGCAGGGAGATACCATCCTAACTGCTGCTTTTCACCTGATGCTCATCTCCCCACTTTACTAGCTACACGCAGCTGCCAAAAAGCCACCTGACACCATCATTCGGTTTGTGAAATCTTCCAGCACACTGAGCTAGCAATGTGTCAAATTGCTCTATCAAAAGTGGGGGGGGGGGCACTTGTGGTCTATGGGGTTACAGGGCAGCTCATCCCTTTGGGGAGACCGAAGTTGATTGGCAGGGAAAATAATAAAAAATATACTTTCAAATCTCTCTGCTCCCAACTCCAAAGTGGCAAACTCGGAGAACTTCTTTCTTACTGGTTCTGTCCCTAGAAATACTCTTTGCCTGTGGGTGGGGAGCTATTATATTCTGTCTCTCATTCTCTTAGAGGACCAGCTGAACTGCAAACAGTTCAAACCTGATTTAACAATAACATGGTATGAAGAAACAATATGATCTATAACATGTTTCTCTCTGAAAGAGGACATCAAGAGTACCTTCTGAAATCCACCAGTGTGTCTATTTTCTTTTTCATAGGCCAGCTACCTCCTTTCAATTCCTCTCCCTTTTCTTTGTAACCCTGTCCACTTATTGCTCCCTTCCTAAATTCTTTTAGTTCCTGCGATTTTAAGAGAGTGTCCAGTTTAACCTTTACCCTTTACTTGCTTTAGTAGAATGAAAACAATCTACCACTTCATCCATCTTCCCATAACTCCCCTGCATACCCCAGTGAGACCACCACATTCTGTTTTCCTTTCCTCCGCTTGTCTTAGGGCATCTATTTTACTTAACCCAATGACAAACTGCCAAAAAGGGGTGATGAGTTTTAGTTCTTCCACCTCAATAATATTATGGAATATCCCACCATCTCCTTTGTAACAGCCAGACGTTAATACTTCAGCTGTTGGAGGCAAAAAACCTGCCTGCTCCTGTCTTCAGTACTGCCTAGGTTCTAGGTCTCTCTTTCCTTGGAAGAAACCCTTGTGCAAGCCCATACAGAAATGTGCTAGATTTCTGATAATACACTGAAAGATATCATATTTATTTTATTTGTTTTATTTATTATTTCAATGTGGAGGCCACCCGACTGGGCAGCTGACAGATAAAAAAAATGAAAAGAAAACAAAATTTATCAAGAAGAAAAAGAAGACAGGTGTCCAGGAACCCAAAATCCCCCAAAGCCAAGCAGCCAATAACCAACCAAAGGGGCTTGACCCATATCCTAGGCCAGGGCCTGGGAAAACAACCAAGTCTTAAGCAGTTTGCAAAAAGTTGGAAGGGTAGGAGCAGTACGAATGTCCAGAGAGATATTGTTCCACAGGAGAGGATCCATCACTGAGAAGGCACACTTCCTAAGGCCTATAAGATGACACTGCTTAATCAATGGGCCCCGGAGCATGCCAACTCTAGCTGACCTGACTGAACAGGTGGAAACATATGGAGGCAGGTGGTCCTATAAGTAACCAGGCTCTATGCCATGCAGGGCTTTATAGGTGATAACCAGCACCTTGAATTGCACCCAGAAGCCAACTGGCAACCAGTGGAGCTTGTGAAGCAATGGGAACATGTGCACATACTGCAACATGCCCATCACTGTCTGCCCAACTGCATTCTGAACTAGCTGTAACATCTGGGTGGTCTTCAAAGGCATCTCAATGTAGACCACATTACAGTAATCCAATTAAGAGGTGGCCAAGACATGAGTGACTCTCTGAAGACCATCCCAGTCCAAGAATGGGTGCAACTGGCACACAAGGTGAACCTGTGCAAAGGCTCTCTTGGCCACAGCTGTCACCTGCAGTTCAAGAGGGTTGTGCACCAGTCTTGCATGGGACCCCATTAAAGACTAAAGATGGAGGTCCCTGGAGCCAGAGGGGTCAAATGAACAAAGCCACTCAGTCTTGTCAGGATTGAGCCTGAGTCTGTTCTTCCCCCTCCAGGCCTCCATAGCTTCCAGGCACTGGCTCACGACTTAAACAGTATCACAGCTCAGGGTTGAAGTGTATAATTGGGTATCATCAGCATATTGATGATACCTGACCCCAAATCAATGGATGATCTCACCCATTAGATTCATGTAGATGTTAAGCAAAAGAGGAGAGTGAGTTGAGCCCTGCAGCACCCCACAAGTGAGGGGTCATGGAGCACAACCCACTCAAAGTCACCATTAGTGACTATGGGGAGGGCTTCCTTATTTTGACATGTATTTTGGTCCAGATTTCCAGATTCTGGAACTCTTTTTAGCTTCTTAACCACTCCTTTTCTATTTTCTACAATGGGCAGGTGAGAGAGACATTAGCAGCTGAAACTGGTTTGACTGTCCGTGTAGTGCAGGTCTGGTTCCAGAATCAAAGAGCCAAGGTGAGTGATCATTTCTGAGCTTTGCATTTGAATGACAGCGTATCTCCAGCCAAACAGGGGCAGACAAACTTCTGCTTACCCTAACTTTGAGCTAACTCATTTCCTAAACCTAGAAGTTCATCAACAGCATGAATTCCAAACCAGACATGATTGCTGGTGAGGATATATGGCTCCTAAAATACTCCCTCTCAATCCCAGTAAATTCTCATCTCTAACACCAGTGTGAACTTCCAACAACACTATAACAAATGGCTGACTGGAATCTATGTTAAGTCAAAAGTCATTAGGGAACCTTCTGTCTCACAAAAACATTGTTCCACCATGACTTCTCTGAAACCAAGTTGAGGGTTTTTTGGTCACCTGAAATAGGCAACCCACTTTCTCCCAAACACTGGATCTTTGATCCTGAATAAGGGTCACACTTTTATCTTAGTTTCCCCCTTTTTATACAGTTCTTGTATGGTTTTGTAACCATACAAGTTTCTTCTGGCTGGACTGGTTGGAGTCCAATAGTGTTTGGAAAATCACAGGCTTCCTTCTCCTGCTTGGTCTTCAGATTTATGAAAATGCCCCTGGGATTGAGGTGTGGTGTTGGTTTGTTGGTTTGGTTTTTTGGTTGGTTAGTTGGTGGAGGTTTCGTTGTACTTGAGACACTATGAGCAAAGTTGCTGGAGCTTATAATAAGAACATACAAATAACAAAAAGTTCATGGCATTATATATACAGTGGTGGCTCTACTTACGAACGCCCCTACTTACGAATTTTTTGAGATACAATCAGCTCCAGCCCCAAAAATTTACCTCTACTTATGAACTCGCCTCGACTTACGAACCGGATCCGCGGCCATTTCTGCCCGTTCCACGTGGTCTGCGGCCATTTTCCGCCTGTTCCACGTGGTCCGCAGCCATTTTTCCGCCCGTGCCACATGGTCCACGGCCATTTCCCGCCCGTTCCACATGGTCCGTGGCCATTTCCCGCCCATTCCACGTAGTCCGCGGCCATTTTTCCACCCGTTCCACGTGGTCCGTGGCCATTTTCCGCCCGTTCCACGTAGTCCGCGGCCATTTTTCCACCCATTCCACGTGGTCCGTGGCCATTTTCCGCCCGTTCCACGTAGTCCGCGGCCATTTTTCCACCCATTCCACG